ACTGGCTGTATATCGTAACTTTGTGACCCACAGGATATACACGTGCTGATTTTCAGAAAGAGTTCACCAGGCCCTTTCTACTCCGTCTTAGTCCGCAAGCTCCGCTGAAACCTGCTCAGCATCACAGCAACAAGCAAGCCCCCAATGACACGTGGATGGAGGCCGATGATGAAGTGCACTGACTGGCAATCAGCGCACCTTCTCTCACAGAGAAGGCGAGAATTCTACCATTGAACCACTACAACTGACCCCATATGACAGAGCAGGTGTTCTGTTTTTTTTAAAAGAGTATATTATTCTAAATTAGCGTGGAATATTTTGTTGCTTTAAAGTAAGTATGGAATATATGTTGCAGTAAAATTCACTTAAGCTTACTGAAGTTGAAGAACTTTGATGAGAATAAAATTTATTATTTTGGGGAAAATAATCCAAAACTACCCATAAAAGCTTATACCCAAAACTTTACATAAGTTTAAAACAATGAGATGAAACAGTTTTAAACATGGTAATTTATTTATATGCAGTTGTTTAAATCCATTGTTCAAAAGTGTTCAAAAGGCACTTTAAAAAAAGTATTTAAAAATACATTTTCTGATTTAAGGTGATCACTTAAAATAAGCAAGTCACCAGACATTTTTCTCACACTCATTCATGACACTACCATATAATGTTTAAATTCTAAAACACAAGCATTCACTGTGTAATACAACACACTGCTTAGCAGTAAGATTAGTTTCCCTTTAATAAGATACTTCATGTGGATTATTAATTTGCAGAACCCTGCAAAGTTATTTAAACTAATATAAACTGAATACTACCGAGGTAAGGGAGTTGAAATACAGCACAATTCAAATCTAAAACTTTTGGAGGTGGTTTCACTAAAGAGAATTTGTAAAACTTATTTCAATCTGTGCTGAAATTTCTGTTTTAAGTTTGATATATAAATGCAAGTCATTCTTTAATCATTAGAGGTTACATTTTGCCTAAAATAAACCACAGATTGTCACCCAGATCTCTTAAGTATATTTCTGTCAGAAGTAGAAAAATGAGGCAAATTACTTTTGTTTTTCGAGAGAAAAGGGAACAGGGAGAAGGAATCCATGTAACTTTTTATTTAACAGTTATAGATCTATAATTAGTTCAAAATTGTAGATTCTTAAGTTAGGCAATTATTCTGAATTCTTATTTTACTCTCAATCTCATAGGGAAACCTAATGTTTGTAGGTATAAAATTTTATGTGATACAAATTCTAATCACTAATAACAGCCAATTTAACCTTGTGAAAGCAGCATTAAAGGTAACTGGAAAATGGAATTTAAAGAATAAACACAAAGCAGGAGAAACTGTCAAAATCAGAATAATAATCTAATGAACTAAAAATTTAAATAAAGAATAAAAAGCTAGACATGAGAAAATCTAATCAATTAGGTGATGGATTCTTTCAAGTACAATAGTGCCTCGATCTGGTAGTAATATAGTTTGATAGATCTGGTAGTAATATAGTTTGATAGGCTCAAGGAAGTGAAAAATTAATACTCAAACAATTATGAAAATAACCAGTTAACAAATTTAATGTTTAAATCCAATTACCATACTTCAAGAAATATTAAAGATTAGTCACTGATTTTATTTTTGAATCTTATTACAGTAACAAAAACTCCTCTGAAATATAGGATATTTGAACTCTAACTCTGGGACAAAAACCTGTTTTTTAATCTATGTACTTTACACTGGAAAATATAAGCATACTGCTATTAGAAACCATAAGACAGCAAAAGCCTTATGTCTTGAGACCACACTAAAATAATTTATCTAGATTTCAAAGATCTTAATCCAAAAGACAGTGAATAAATCATTACCATTATGAAATACCTGATTTTATGTGCTCTGACAAAGACCTGGAGAAGTTTTTCTGTTATTAGGTCACATACGACAGTCAACCTCCTGAAAATGATGCAATTCTAAGTGATAGTACGAATTAGCAGAAAACTATTCTGCATTATTGTAAAATAGCATTTTGCTATCTCTATTTGAAATTTTTAGTAATGATTGTGGGCATTTTTGGATGGATGGCATACATTTATATACACTTTTAAAGAATTAGTATGTATTCAGTGCTTAAAAGAATGCTGCCTGCCCCAATGTGAAATTATTAAAGTTGAATTATAGATTTTACTGAGGTGCTGGTATTAGTCACTCTGGAGAAGCTAAAAGAATTTTGCCTAAATGAATGATTCACTGACTTTTCATCATCATTCAGGCCTTTCACATTTAATATAATGTGATCATGGATTACACTGGTTTAAAATATGCTTTATCTGAATCTCTGAAACATATCTAACTTATTGGGCAGTAGTTTTCAGCGTGTTCCAAAGCCCAATGCATCAGAACTAATGACAATAGTTCTCAAACTTTAGCATAAATAACAAACTCACATAGTTGTTGTTATGTGCCGTTGAGTCAGACCCGACTCATAGTGACCCCTCCTTGGGTTTCTGAGGCAGTATCACTATGGAAGTAGATTGCCCCGTCTTCCTGCCGAGGAGTGGCTGGTGGGTTTGAACCGCCAGCCTTCTGGTTAGCAGTCAAGTGCCTTAGGCAATACGCTACCAGAGCTCCCAAACATGCGCCCAACGAGTGCGTGAGTGCGCCCAAACTCACGTAGAGGGATCATTTAAACACCAATTGCTAGGCTGCTTCTCACCCTCATAGGCTGATTCAGTAGATGGAGGGTGAGGCCTGAGAAGATTCATTTCCAAAACATTCCCAGGTGATCCTGTTCTGCTGATTGCCACCACACTTTGAGAACTGTCCTAGGGTAACTGGTAAGAATACATACTCTGGGGTCTCATGCTATATTCAGAATGTTTGGAATTGAGGTTTTAAGAACTGCATATTAACCAGCTCCTAGGCAAGAATATTAAGAACCACAATTTGAGAACCACTATGACAATTTGGCAGGAGCTCTGGTAGCATAGTGCCTAAGGCACTTGACTGCTCACCAGAAGGCTGGCAGTTCAAACCCACCAGCCACTCCTCAGAAGGAAGGTTGGGCAATCCTACTTCCATAGTGATACTGCCTCAGAAACCCAAGGAGGGGTCTCTATGAGTCGGGGACGACTCGATGGCAAACAACAACAACATGACAACTTGGCAAGTTATCTATTACTGACCAATGTATTATGTTACAGGATATAAAAGTGAAATGGAAATAATGCTAAATGACTAACCCCAGCCTGGCATAATGCAAATAATTCACCAGGCTTTGCCTATAAATCCTAGCTCTGTTATTTACTAGCTTTGTGATACTGGGAAAGTTACTTAAATTCTCTGAACCTCAATTTGTGAGGATTAACACTAATGTATAGAGAGTACCTAAGCACAATGCATGGCATACAGTAAGCAATAGATAAATACTAGCTATTACATATTATTATAAAAAATACTTCCTTCAGTATGATTTCACCAAAGTAGATTTTTCATTTATTTAAAGGGGATATTTGCATTCCAAGATATTAGAATAATAATAAAAGTTTATATTTATTGTTTTCTACGCTGGGCCAGATTGTTCTAAGAGCTTTGCATTTATTCACTCAAAATCCTCATAAAGATCCTGTGAGGTAGGTGGTATTATTATATCCTGTATTTACAGATAAGAAAATTGAGGCACAGTGAGATTAAGTAAACTGCTCAAGATTACAAAGCTAGTTGAGTGAGGGAGCAAGAATTTGAACCCAGGCAGTTCAGGAATCATCACAATATTAAATTAATTTCCTATAAGTAAATTTTAAGATCTTTGGATGTTTACCATAAACTATTTATACTTCCAGTACAGAAATATAGCATATATGGGCTGCAAATAAATTTGCATACACAGTTTAGTTGTTCAAAGGAATGGAACCAAATACCGTGATATTTTGGCAGATAATACCAAGATGAAAAGAACAAAAACAATTTAATAAGTAAACATTGGTCAGTGTTTTCACTATGTGGAGAAAGTTATAATTAGCCACTAAAGGGAACATCCTCTCAAATATACCATCCAAAAAGGTCATGGTTTTGATATGTTTTGGCACAATAAATGTAAATCATTCAGTAAAGCAACAGAGTAAATGCTGTGACAGACCTGTAAAACCAGATTAATGATAAGCATAATAGAAATCATTTATAACATTAAAGGTAATTTTATAAAAAAAATTCTGTTATGATAGACTCACATATATTGCTAAAGTCAGTGAAAATAAAAATGTTTCTTTCCTTCCAGAAATTTTTTAAACATAGGATGACTAAAATTAGAATAAAACATTTGTGAATGTGTTTTTGAAGACCATCTTAGATGGGTATTGCATTTTGTTAGAATTACTCCCTGGCAAAATTTAGTAATCCCAAAAGAGTAAAAGTCAGCATCAAGCTTCAGGCTGTTATTCATAAATTGAGTATATGGTCTTTTAATATCTGACATCTATCAGTTTGTTTAAGAACTCACGATTTTCTGTTTTCATTTAACTCTGGTCAAAATCTTGCATTTGAACTATTTTGCCAGTGTAACTAATAGCCACCTCAGATCCTAAAAATGAAGAATTTTAAAAAACTGCTTTAAACAAGTTATGAAAGGCACAAACAAGTTCTCATCTCTCTTCTCGACAGCATGAGAATGAAAGGAACTATAATTATGCAGTTGGAAAGTTTCAAATAACCAATTAAAAATGATACTTGTAACTCCTGAGAGTGGCACTGATTCAAAAGCATCCCCAAATAGCATTTACTATTAGTTACCCATAATTAACAATGGGTAAATTTGGGGACAAAACACTTTCAAATGTACATTTATAGAATACTATTAATGTTTTGAGTAAATAAATAATAGCAGAGAATGGCATTCAAGAGTGGTTAAACATATTTAGAAAAGATGCAACGGGGACTTTGTCAATACTATTCATTCCAGTAAAACATTAATCACTAATTAGAACCAAGTATATAATATAGTCAAGGCCCATGATAATTTTAAAATGTGATTTTATTAATGCACTTTAGGACAAGTGCCATTCTTACTCTTATCTTTTTTTCTGGGAAAAATACTGCCAATTATAAATAACCACAGCAAAATTTTCATTAGACTAAAACAGTATGTGTTGAGGTGGTGGGGTTTGGTTCATTTATGTCATATTGCAAATACAAACTCCCATCTTGAATATATAACACTGAGAAACAGTATTTCCTCCTAAAATTTCCTTTAAGGCAGATCTGTTTAACATCCTGTGTATTACTAATATGGTATAGTGTAGTTTTAGCAAATTTAACTGTGTTTCTCTCTCAGTGACAATAATACATGTGGTCAGGAACAGGCAATAAAACCTCTTTTCTTTAAGCTGGCCATCACATAAAAGACAAAAGTTCTTCATATATATATACATATATATATTACTGTATCAAAAACACATTTTAACAGACTTCACAGCTCATTTAAAGCTTCAGTTTACAGTCACTCATATGAAAGATTTGTAATATGCAACGTTCCACTGGGATTCCAGTGTTCTGTATCAGAAATATGGAAGTCCTTCTTCAGTGCAGTGTAAGACATTTTACTTCTGTTCATGTTTTTCTTTCAAGGGTTTCCTAATTTTACTTTTGAATTTTCATTTTTGTATGGTCCACTTATTTCCTTTAATATATTCTCAGGTAAGGCAGGTTGATATCTGTATAAATAACCATATGGACGAAGATGATAAATGAGGTATTCTAACTCATACATAGTTGTAGGGTCAACATAGTGAAAAGAAACTGCAAGGTCAGAACAGCAACCAGGACCCTAAAAAAGTAGCGGAAACAGGTATTATTAGCAAACAATTCACTGTTAACATGCAATATTCACATAATAATAAAGAAAAGAGTAATTTTAAAGTAACTCAAACATTAAAACTGGTAAGGTAAAGCAGAGGCACCTAATTTATTAGACTTGTGGAAGAAACCAAGAGTTCTCAGAAGTCCTAATGATTTGAAACTAAACATGCAACTGCCAAAGTATTTCTAACCAAAATAATATGCTCTTTAGTGATTCTGGTGAAAAAAATTAAGACTTCTATGAAAGGAGCACCTATACAAAGGATAAAGCTCTATTTTCCCAAGTTCTGCTTTCTATTTATACTTTTCTCATTGTAATTTTTTGTTTGACCCAACTTCAGAGAGCACTCAGTGACTATAAAGGTTTTCCCATTATGTCTGCAACTTCATACTTTTCAATTACTCAAACAGTATAGTGTTTAAGAGAGGAAGTTCTGAAGTCAGACCTGTTTGAATCCAAATTTTGCTTACTGGAGTATGACACACCTTGATAGCAAGCTACTTAATCTTGATTAGTTTAAATTTCCCCATCTGTGAAAAGTGGTTACTTAAGAGAGAAGATGTATGTAAACTGCCTGGGGCCTTGTTTAGTTTATAATAAATATTAGCTATGATTATAAGCTATGATTGGCAGAATAATTATATTCAGGTGGATCTTAGTTAAGTAGGGCCAACTTAAAAAAAAAAAAAAAAAAAAAAGAGTTCCTAGGTGGTACAAACAGTTTAAGTGCTCCACTACCAGCCAAAAGGTTGGTGGTTCGAACTCATCCAGAGGCACCTCAGAAGACAGCCTGGCAATTTCAAAGGTCAAGCTTTGAAAAACCTAATCAGTAGCTCTACTCTGCACACATGAGGTCACGGTGAGCTGGAATCAAGTGGACAGCAACCAACAACAGTTATACAATTCTCACAGACTTCTAGAAGCACTGGCACAAGAAAAGGTTTAAAACACAACAAAAAAAAAATAGCCAAAAAAGAAGAAATCGGAAAAAGAGTAGATTGGTCCTGGAGTTAAACAATCAGAAAGTGAATACAGAGCTCAGGACTGGTAACTGGAGAACGTTTCACCCGTGACTCCAACAAAACAGCAGGATGTGATATCTTTCCAAGGACTGGGGGAGACAGAGAATCTGGCAAGTTCCCAGAGAGGATTCACTTTGACCTACAGAACATTTAATAATTCATGTTTGCAAGTACGCAGCTTACAATGCAATGAAATTACCAGGAAATTGTACACTGCACTTTCTTTACCTTCCTTGCTGATCTTTCCTTTGGAGCAAACAATGGATATGTGGGATCCTTGGAAAAATATATAAGAAAATTATCTGGTGCCTACTTCTTACACTTTTAGGGGATATTTATTAGAATAGGAACAAATATGAAAAGTATATAGATTATTTGATTTATTATCCTAACCAGCTTTTTTCAACAGACCCATTATGAGCCACATAATAAAGTTTTAAATTTTCTAGTAGTTACATAAAGGTTAAAAAAAATTAGTTAAAATTAATTTTAATATATTTATTTAAACTAATAAATCCATAATATTTTTCTAGTCCATAGTATATTCAATATTCTTCACTAACACCATAATTCAAAGTCCTCAACTCTTCTTTGGTCTTTCAGCTTTCACATACATATGAGGTACTGAAAATACCGTGGCTTGGGTAAGGTGCACTTTAGTCCTCAAGGTGACATCTTTGCTTTTTAACACTTACTAAGTGACCTAAAAGACAACAGGGCAAAAATGTCCAGTGCCCCTAAATTAAAGAGTTTAGGAGGAAGGATACACACAAGAATTAATGAGGCAAGTTGAAAGGGGGTAGGGATACACACTCATTTTTAGATAAATAAAAAGATTATAAAGCTACAAGATTTAAAACAGTATGATGCTGGGTCAATCTATGCAACACTAAAGAACAATGTAGAATCTGCAAAACACCACACAACATGGATGAACTTGGAAGATGTTATCCTGAGTGACATATCACAGAAGGACAAATGCATTGTTAGTTCATTATTGTAAAAAGTCAAGGAAAGGTTTACATATGGAAGGAAACTTTGTTGGTTATTAGGGGTGGGAGGGGAGGGAATACTGTAAAAAAAAAAAAAAGGATTGACCCATATCACTTTAAAAATCAAAATGAAGAAAACAGCATGATGCTGGGTCAAAACCAAAGACAAGAACAAAACGTTTGAACTGAAATCCCAGATACAGTTTCCACTGTAAGTAATGAGGAATCCCTGAATGGTGCAAGCAGTTAAAGTACTTGGCTGCTAACTGAAAGGTCAGAGTTCAAGTCTACCCACAGGTGCCTGGGAAGAAAGGCCTGGATATCTACTTCTGAAAAATCAGCTAATCAAAGTCTTTCAGAGTGAGTTCCACTGACACACATGGGGTCACCATGAGTTAGAACTGATGCCACAGAAACTGGTTGGTTGAATATACTACATGATAAAAGAGTCATTTCCAATCAGTCATAAATGGTACTGAAAAATTAGTTGACCATATACCAATACATTTCAGATGGGTAAGAGTTAATGTAAAAAAAAAACTGAGGAACAAATGGAATGACAACCAAAAATGCCTCTAGTCACTGTAAATGTCCCCTGGATAGGGGTGTCAAGATCACTTTCAGTTGAGAACCACTGTTCTAGACAATAATTTGAAAATACTGCCTAGGAAAGAAGAAAATGGTAGTGTTGATACACTGAGTGTATTATTTCTATCTCAAGGCTAGAGAAAAGTCAAAAAGAACTAACAACTTGCCTGAAAAAGCATTATTAATCAATAACAGAACTGAATCTAAAAACTAGGTTTCATAATTTCTGATCTCACTCAAACATTCACTGAAGCAATGCTTTAATGGTGAAAAATAGGTAACAACTTACTAAATATGTATCTGCAGGAGAATTAATAAATTATAATACATTAGGTATTACACAGCAGTTTAAATTAGTGAAGCAGACATATACATTAACATTAGCAAACCTCAATGTGTGGAAAGGGCAAATTACAGAATTTACTTAAAGTTTTCAAACCCAAAAAACAATACTATTTATTCTTTATGCATACAAAAGAATGTAGGAAAAAAAAAGCTATGGATAGTAATGAAAAATACTACATTCATGATAATACATTCACACATAATAACAAATACTACATTCATGGTAACTTTGGAGAAGGCAGTAAGGGAACTGGTTTGGGGAAGAATCACAGACCTCAACTATATCTACAATTTTTTTCTTTCAAAAAATCTAAAGCAAATGTAGCAAAAGATTAATATTTGATAAAACTGGGTGGTGGGCATAAGGTAGTACATTACTCTCCAACGGTTGTCAGTATACCTGAAATATTTCATAAAGTAGTACCTAAGGCACTTGACTGCTAACCAGAAGGCTGGTGGTTCAACCCACCAGCCACTCCTTGGAAGGTTGGGAAATCTACTTCTGTGGTGATACTGCCTTGGAAACCCAAGGAGGGGTCGCTATGAGTTGGGTCTGACTCGACGGCACATAACAACAACAACCACTTAAATTAGATAAAAGACTTAAGCTGAGGTGTCAAACGAGATCTAAAGTTTATTAAGTCTTTACTGAGTGACAGGGAGTCCCTGGGTGGTGCAAATGGTTAATGTCCTCAGCTGCTCATCAAAAAGTTAGAGGTTCAAGTCCTCCCAGAGGCACAACTGAAGAAAGGCCTGGCAATCTACTTTTGAAAATTCAGCCACTGAAAACTCTATAGAGCAGTTCTACTCTGATATATATGGGGGTCACTGTGAATTGGAATCAACTTGATGGTAACTGATTGCTGTGTGATGGGCACTGCACTACACTATGATCCACTGAATGAGGTAGGTAAATCATATCCATTTTACAAACGAGGAACCCGAGGCATAGAAGTTAAGCAAATTTTGTCCAGAAAAGATCATTCAATTTTAAGTAGGAAAGCAGGATCTCAACCTTTAAGTCTTTCTGAATTTCAAAGTCTATTCATGTGTTGTTCCTGGTAACCAGAAGACCCTCTACCTAGATCTTTACACAGCCTGCTCTCCAACCTCACTCAGGTTTCTGCTCAAGTCAACCCTTACAGAAGGTCTTTGTTGATCATCCAAAGCAGTTTAACCCACTCTGGGTCACTTTCCATCTTTCGCCTGGTTTTATTTTTCTTCAGGGCACCCACTACTACCTAACATCATATATCCTGACTACTCTGCTTATTTACTGTATAGCTTCTCAACTAGAACGCAGGTTCAAAAGAACTGGAATTTAGCTTTGTTTACTACTCTGTTCTCAGTGCCCAGCATACAGTGCTACCTATAGGTGTTTGTTCTCATCTACTTTGCTATACTGCTAGTCTATATAAAAAAGCTAAAGGAAATTCCTAGTCATTGGTGCTATACTGCTAGTCTATATGAAAAAGCTAAAGGAAATTCCTAGTCATTGGTGCTAAAGAAACATACTTATTTGAGGTTAAAAAAACACGTAAATGAGATCAAATATTTATACAGGTACAAAATTTCTAAACTTACCTCTACAGGAGGATAATAGTTATAATTCCAATACCAAAAGGTCTTGGGTAAATAACCTTTGATTAAGTGGTGTTCCGGTACAAAGGGATGAAAAGTTTCTTTGCCGGTACTATCTCTGGAATCTCCTGCTTCTACATTTATAATTTCCATGCATCTCCCCAGTGCTAAGTCTTCGATGGAGGAACTATGTGTACATTTGTCCGTTTTAAATGCATCAACAAATCTCTTTAAGGCTTCTTTGCTCAGTACATATCCTGCTCCTCCACTCATATAGCCCTGTTTTACATAGGGCTTAAATCTTCTCCCAAAGTAAATGGGTTTTTCAGGGTCATATTTTGAGAGAAGCCATCTCAAATTGTCTAATACAACATATGTATCATCATCTGCTTTCATAAACCAGTCAGCATCTTCTAAATAATGGTCATGAACATACTGAAAAGCTTTAATTGTTTTCCAGTATAGTTGGTCTCTGCCTTCTTTAGTTTTTAATCCCACGGTAGGGAAGTCTTTATTTTCTTCAGAACTCATAAACAAAACTTTATTACAACGCTGGGCCCACGTAGCTTTGACATGTTTGGCCTTTTTCTCTAGATTTTGAGGCCCTGTCATTACCCAGCAAAGAATTTTAACTTTTTGATAGAGTTTTTCAGAGACGTCTGTGTTCTCATCTATTAAACAAAAATAAAAACAAAGTATATAAAAATAGATGTAAAATCCAAATTATATCCAAGAAAACATTTTCTTAAACAATTTCAAAGACCTCCTCTTCTATTTACCCATCTATCAGTAGTGATTTATCTGGGAAAAAGCAAAACTCCACATAATATGAACTGACATTCTGATTTATTGGTTTCATGTCAATCTTATCCAGGAGATCACTGACTCTAACAAGAGTTGTCACTACAGCTTAAATTCATACTACTCATACCGTAGTTCATTGACCGAACAGCACTGGCACCACCTGGGAGTCTGCCAGAAATGCAGAAGCTCAGGCCCCACTCCAGATTTACTGAACAATATTCTGCATTTTAACAAGCATTCTCGGTCATTTGTATGCACCTGAAGCATTGCTTTAAATACCCTGCGCTTTTCACTTCCTACCAAAAGAAAGTTCCCAACAGTACAGTGACAGGAATTCCTCCCTGCTCTGAATGGGCTTCTGAAGGACAGGAAGGACATGCTGCTCAAGTGGCAGAAAGAGAACATAGTTTAGGGGAGACATTTTCAAGACTGTATAAAACAGGGTTTGTTAAAAAACAAGGAGCACATACCAAAGGATAAAAGATACTATTAGGGACCTATACTTTTGTATAGGGTGTCAGAAGAGACTCTGAAACTTGCTCTTGAGTGGAGAGTAGCTCAAGTGAATGGAAGAAATCATGAAGTAAATGATCTAAACAGAAGATTTCAGAGGGCAGCTTGAGAAGACAAAGTATTATAATGTAATGTGCGAAGACTTGAAATTAGAAAACCAAAATGGTAAAACACACTCAGCATTTCTCAAACTGAAAGAACTGAAGAATAAATTCAAACCTCAAATTATAATATTGAAGGATTCTATGGGCAAAATACTGAACAATGCAGGAAGCATCAAAAGAAGATGGAAGGAATACACAGTCACTGTACCAAAAAGAATTGGTCAATGTTCAACCATTCCCGAAGGTAGCATATGATCAAGAACTGACAGTACTGAAGCAAGAAGTCTAAGCTGTACTGAAGGAAATGGCAAAAAACAAGGCTTAGGAAGAGATGGAATACCCAGTGAGACGTTTCAACAAATACAACACTTGAAGTGCTCATCTGTCTATACCAAAAAATCTGGAAGACAGCTACCTAGCCAATCAATTGGAAGAGACACATATTTGTGTCCATTGCAAAGGGAAAAAAAAAAAAAAAAAAAAACTCAATGCCATGGAGTCAATTTGACTCATAGCGCCCCTCCTTGGGTTTCCAAGGTGGTATCTCTACAGAAGTAGATTGCCTAATCTTCCAAGGAGTGACTTCTGGTTAGCAGTCAATTGCCTTAGGCACTACACCACCAGAGCTCCCATTCCAAAGAATGGGGTTCCAAAAGAATGTGGAAATTACTGAATATCATTAATATCACACACAAGTAAAATTCTGTTGAAATTAAAAGATGGTTGCAGCAGTATACTGACAGGGAACTGCCAGAATTCAAGCTGGATTCAGAAGAGGACATGGAACAAGGGATATCAATACTGATGTCAGATGGCTCTTGGCTGAAAGCAAAGAATACCAGAAAGATGTTTACCTGTGTTTTATTGACTATGCAAAGGCATTTGACTGTGTGGATCATCACAAATTTTCGATAACATTGAGAAGAATGGGAGTGTGAGAACATTTAATTGTGCTCATGAGGAACCTGTACGTAGACAGTCTTTTAAACAGAACAAAGGGATATTGCTTGGGTTAAAATCTGGAAAGGGGTGAGTCAAGGTTGTACCCTTTCACCATACTTATTCAATCTGAATAATCCAAGAAGCTGGACTATATAAAGAACCCTGCATGAGGATTAGAGGAAGGCTCACCAACAACTTGTGATACACTCATGACACAACTATGTCTGCTGAAAGTGAAGACTTGACATACCTACTGATGAAGATCAAGACTCCAACCTTCAGTATGGATTACGCCTCAACATAAAGAAAACAAAAATCCTCACAAGTGGACCAGGAAGCAGTATCATGATAAATGGAGAAAAGATAGACGTTGTCAAGGATTTCATTTTACTTGGACCCACAATCCATACCCGTGGAAGCAGCAGTCAAGAAATCAAAGGACATATTGCACTGGGCAAATCTGCTGCAAAAGATCTCTTTAAAGTGTTAATGAGTGTCACTTTGGAGACTAAAGTGTGTCTGACCCAAGCTATTTTCAGTAGCCTCATATGCATGCGAGATCTGGACAATGAATAAGGAAGACTGTAGAAGAACTGATGCATTTGAATTGTGGTATTGGCAAAGAGTACTGAATACACTATGGACTGCCAGAAGAATAAACAAATCTGTCTTGGAAGAAGTACAGTTGCTCCTTAGAAGACTTTGACTCTCCTACTTTGGTCATGTCAGAAAGGACTAGTTGCCAGAGGATATCATACTTGGTAGAGGGTCAGCAAAGAAGGGGAAGCCCTTCAATGAGATAGACCGACACAATAGCTACAACGGTCTCAACTATAGTAAGGATTATGAGGATGGCCCAGGATCAGGCAGTGTTTCATTCTGTTATGCATAGGGTCACTAAGAGTCAGAGCCAACTCAATGGCACCTAACATACTTTTGTAAAGTATGATAAAAATGAATTACTAGAATAAAGCTTAAATGACTCTATATTAATTTATAGATTCAGAAAAAATTACTTTGTCAAATTAACATAAAAGTTGCTAAATACTTCCTTCTGGTTTCTATATTTATTTGTCATGGACCTGTAACAACGTGTGGATCAACGGTCTGCAGACCACACTTTGATTAACAATGCTCCAAACACTATCTTGAGGAAGACTACCCTTAAAGTTAAGGCCAACCAGTGAATTACAACAGTTTAATCCTGTGATGACTAGACAAGTGGATGCATAAACTTAAAAAAAAAAAAAAAAAAAAAACTTAGTTAATTGATTGAGAGGGAGAAAAAGGAAGTAAGTATTTGGGCAGAGCATGAATATAGTCTCAGATTCCTCTGAATATCAAAAATCCACACTCTAAAAGGACAACAGCAGACAAAATTATCCTGTTTTCAGTCAGAGAGTATTCACAGCCCAGATACTTTATACTTGGTAGAGGGTCAGCAAAGAACGGGAAGCCCTTCAATGAGATAGACCGACACAATAACTACAACAACGGGCTCCACTATAGTAAGGATTATGAGGATGACCCAGTTATACAGATATAACCCACCCTGGAGGGAGAGGGAAAATGGTGGATGCCGGAATCCTCAATCTGTTTCACTTAGAGAAAGACAGCTTTCTCCCCACTTCTAGTGTCTGGGAGAAAACTCTTTCTTATACTTTCAATTATTCAATCATTACTTACTTTGTACCAGGCATGTCATGGCACTGAAGGTGAGAAAATGAGTAAGACACATTTCCTGCTACAGAGGAATTCAGTCTCGTGGGGGAGCCTGATGTGCAAACCAGTAATTGCCAAATACTAAGATATGCTATAATAGAGGAATGTACCTTGGTTCAGTGTGTTGAGGAAGAAGAAAAGAGTAAACCAACAAATCCTATAGAACAGTAGGATGGGGGCTTGGGTAGGGAAGAAAAGGGAGACATCAAGGATTACTAGAAAAAAGGAAGAGATGAAAGGGAACGTAGCTCTTTGAATGAGTAGATGCTCGCCAGAAGAAAGGACAAAAGGCATGGTGAGGTTCAGTACGGATACATGGGAATAGCTGTAGGCCTAAATAAGGGAACTGCAGTGCGGATTTGGAGGACAGGCAGACTTGAAATGGTAAAGAAGTAGAACCGTTAGAATTGAGTGACAAATGGGATTGATTGGTAAAGCAAAGAAGCTTGGAGAAAAACAACATTTAAGGGGCACAAAGAGGATTCAACTGAGAAAATCTGGTCAGAGATTAGGAGGTGAGAGAAAACAGTCATTATAACACATCCTCAGCTTTCTACTTCCCTGTTCTTTAAGCCTCTCAAAAGGATAAAAGATTGGTTATATTAGCTACTCATAAAAATATAAATTAAAATTTACATACTTCTTGAGTATAGACAGTTATATCACAAAATTCAAATAACTTTTTCTAATTCTCCCAATACTTTCACAGACTGAAATACTGTTTGTGTTTACTCCTTAATAACGTAACCATACCTGTATGTTGGCTGGCATCGGCATTGAAGTTCATCTGTCCTTCCAGATGATTATGTCCGTTATCATCTGAATGCCTAGCATGGGGATCATTATGAAGAATACTAGGTTGGGTGTCACCCTGTTCTCCAAACAAAATACTAAAGAGCTGAGAACATAAAAAAAATCCGATTGCTGATCCACAGAGGAATGTTAAAAAATTCAGCCAAGATTTAGAGGCCATTTCCCGAAAGTGTATTTCTGTAAGAAAAAAAATTAGCAGGATGATATAAAATAATAAAGCAATCTATATAGCAAGAATAAAATGTAGTAACTTAGTTACAACCAGTTGCAGTAGAGTTGATTCCTACTCATGGCAACCCCATGGTGTTTCAGAGTAGAACTGAGCTCCATATAGTTTTTCAACGGCTGATATTTTGGAACTAGATCACAGGCCTTTCTTCCGAAGTGCCTCTGGGTGGACTCAAATCTCCAACCTTTTGATTTCACAGCCCAGTATGTTAACCATTTGAACCACCCAGGGACCTTTCAGTTACACTGGTAGTTAATTCAATTCCCTCCATATAAGAGAACGTTTCTTTCCAGACTAATCCAGGTTTCAGACTAATATACATAAATGCCTACATTTCCACCTGGACCATAGAACCAAAACCAAACTCACTGTCAAATCAATTTCAACTCATAGTGACCTATAAGACAGAGTAGAACTACATCATGGGGTTTCCAAGGCTGTAAATTTTTATGGAAGCAGACTGTCACATCTTTTTGCCAGGAAGCAGCTAGGTTAGCAGCAAGCTCTTTAACCACTGTGCCACCAGGGCGCCTCACTCGAACCATCCAAAGAAACCAAACCCAACCCAATACCACTGAGTTGAACTCAACTCACAGTGACCCAGATCATACCCCACCCACTGCCATCAAGTCTATTCCAACTTCTAACAAACCTATTTGACAAGAGTAGAACTGCTCCATAGGGTTTCCAAGGCTGTAAATCTTTATGGAAGCAGATTCCCAAATCTTTTTCCAGTGGAGCAGCTGGTGGATTCAAAAACCCACCCTGTAGTTAACAGCCAAGTGCTTAACCATTGCATCACCAGCACTCCTTATCTGGACCATCCAAATCAAAAGCAAACCCACTGCCACAGAGTAGATCTCAACTCACAGCAATCCTGCAGGACAGAGTAGAACTGACCTCATAGGTTTCTAAGGCTGTAAATCTTTATAGAAGCAGACTGCCTCAGCTTTCTCCCACAAAGCAACTAGTGAGTTAGAACCACTGACCTTTGGGTTAGCAATGAATGCTTTAATCACTATGCCACCACAGCTCCTTACCTGGACCACAGGCATCTCAAATTCAACATGTCCAAAAGTGAATCATTATGTTATGCCCTTAAACCTGCTCCCCTTGCTGAGTGATCACCTAAATTACTCACCAGTGGATTCCCATTTCAATTGGAGCCATCTGATTATCTAAGCTAGAAATCAGGGAGATATCTTTCATCCTCCCCTGACCCTCACCAACATTCAATTACCAAGTCCAATTTCGTTTCCTAAATATTTGTTTTATCAATCTTCTCCTATTTCTATTACTTGTATACTGTGATATGTAACTTGTCTCCCTCCCTACCTCAAGTGTTGTCTCTCCTCAACTCATTTCCATTCTGTCACCAGTTGACCTATCTAAAATAAAAAGTTGAAATTGACTATGCTACCCTATAAATCCTTCTATGGATCCTTATTGCCTACAAGACAAAAATGAAGCACCTTTAATTAACATGATATACAGGTACGGAGGCTCTCCCAGTTTCTAGCTTCATCTTTTGCTACTCCATGCCTAATAATTTATGCTCCAGCAATCCTGAATTATCTATAGTTCCCTAAATGTCCCTATGCAGTTGGCACCTCTCTTCCTACTGTCTTCTCACCTACAACACCCTCTTCCCATCACCATCTGTACCCCAACCTTTGTAAGTCCCATTAAGCTAGGGTTTTCAATCTCAGTACAATGACATTTTGAGCTGGATAATTCTTTGTTGTGGGAACTGCAGATGTCAGTAGCATCAGGACTCCCCAGGTGTGACAGCTAAAAATGTTTCCAAACCAGCAACGCACTGTCACTGAGTCAATTTCGACTCACAGCAACCCTGCAGGACAAAGTAGAACTGCCCTATAGAATTCCTGAGGCTGTAACCTTTACAGATGCAGACTGCCACATCTTTCTCCTGCAGAGCAGCTGATGGGTACAAACCAAATTTCAGTTTTCAGTCAAATGTTTAAACTATTGTACCACCAGGGCCAAATATCCCCTGCTGGGGGGAGGGGAGCAAATTGGCCTGGTTCAGATCCATTCCATTAACTTGTTAAAATTAATTTATAATATATAGAAGAATCCATAAAGACTAGCTGTAACATTAGTTGCCTTTGAGAAAGGAAACAGTGATTGAGGTAACCCAAGTGAGAGGAAAAAAACTTAATTTCCTTCTTCAGTCTATTTTGACAAGTAGCCAAAGTAATCCTTCCTTTTAAAACTTAGATCACATCACTCATTTGCTCAAAACCCTCTCTCTAGTCAAGTGCCTTCCCATGTCACTGAAAGGAATACAAAACCTTGAAGGTAATTTTCACCTAATCTGGCCTCCTACCCACACTCCTTTCAGATTTTTCCTCCTAATATCTGGTGCTTTTGCAAGTCAACAATAAATGAACACAGCAATTTTACTGGATAAAATCTGATACTATCTGCTTTCCTTGCTGTATTCTAGCTCTGTTGGGAACACATCACAACCAGTCACAAGTGTCACTCTCTAACTCCTTCAGGTCTCTTACTTTTCAGTGGGTCTTCCCTATAGCATCAATCAACAGCTGATATATTGTAAATCGAACATATCCTGTTTATTGTTTTTTTTTCTCCATCTTGATTAGTGATTCTTAAACTCAAGTATGCACCAGAATCACCTAGAAGGCTTATTAAAAGTGTTTTCAGAGCATGAAAATTGGCAGCTCTGACAGTGTAGTGCCTAAGGCACTTGACTGCTAACCAGAAGGCTGGCAGCTCAAACCTACCAGCCACTCCTTGGAAGGAAGGTTGGTCAATCTACTTCTGTAGTGATACCACCTCGGAAATCCAAGGGGTTGCTGTGAGTCGGATCCAACTCAACGGCACAAAACAACAACACAGCAAGTACCCAGGTGATGGTTTCGTAGGTCACACTTTGAGAATCAATGCTATCAAAAGTAAACTCCAAGTGGACATTTCTGTCCATTTGCTCACTGCTGTACTGCTAATGCCTGGTACATAGTAAGTGTTCAGATATCTGAATGATCTAGAATCACCCACTCTGCTCCCACTTTTGTCATGTGCCGTCGAGTTGGACTCGATTCATAGTCACCTCTCCTTGGGTTTCCGAGGCAGTATCACTACGGAAGTAGATTGCCCCATCTTACTGAACACTATACACATATTACCCACTTTTCAAAAGCTCGCTTTACACCTACATTAATACCTATTTTCACTAACCAAAAGAAATTTGAAAAGAATTTTCACTTTTGCAAAAAGCAAAACTAGCATTCAGCGTTCAGTATCAAGCCATTAAAGAGGAAGTGCATATGCTCAATAAGTGTTGTCGCCAAGCTCTTTTCCTGGGAACTACACTCAGCATCAAGCCACCAGTTTTTGAACTGTGTCTGTGAACCCTATATGTAGTATTATTTTAGGTTTTATGTATTATGATTTGGTAGATTATTTTTTTTCAGGTCTGGGAATGCTTGAAAAATTTTCCCGTATCAATTAATAGTAGTTACCATTAATCTTCAGTGAATCTTCACTTTATGCCATTTCAGCTTATGAAAGGTTTCACAAGAACACTCCAACCTTCAGATAGCAGGGGAAACCTACATAAGATAAAGAGGAACCCTGGTGGCGCAATGCTTAAGTGCTCAGCAGCTAACTGAAAAGTTTGAACCCACCAGCTTCTGTGCTGGAGAAAAATGTGCCAATATGCCTCCATAAAGATTTACAGACTTGGAAACCCTATGGAGCAGTTCTACCCTGTCCTATAGGATCACTATGAGTCAATCCATTGACATCAATGGCTTTGGTACAAACAAAAATAACAAAATGCAAAACACTGCTGTCGAGTCAGATCCGACTTACAGCGACCTCTCCTTGGGTTTCTGAGCCAGTATCACTATGGAAGTAGATTGCCTAACCTTCCTTCCAAGGAGTGGCTGGTGGGTTTGAACCACTAGCCTTCTGGTTAGCAGTCAAATGCCTTAGGCACTATGCCACCAGACCTCCTGGGTTTGGTATAAGATAAATTAAATGACCAAGTATGCAAACAACCACAACCAATAGTTTATCATTTCAAAGCTGCCTATTATCCAGTTTCCATCAGTATAAATGCGCTTTAATATGTAGCTTTCATTGTATTTTAATCAAGTTTCCTGTTTCAGAATCTTCTTAATTCACTAATCCCTCTCCTGTCCTCCAATGATGTGTAAGGCAGCATTTACTACAGGTGTAAGATAATTTATTCAGATTTTCTTTTTGGTTTCTCTCACATAACGGTTTCTCAAGCTCACAAATAAAAGCTTCTTTACATTTTCTTCTCAGAGGGACATTTACTATTTTCACACATTACACATTTTGGCATGTATTCTTTCCTCAGTTATTTGAATTAAGCTCAAAGTGAAAAATTAATATTTTAAGTATATACTAGGATTCTTTTTCTAACCAGATTTTAACGTAAAATCCTGTTTCCTTTTTATGGAACAATAACAGCTCCCCCCCCCCCCAGTTCTTTTAAAAGAATGACCTGGATCTTACTAAATTTTGGATAAAAATAATTTTGCCATACCTTTTTTTCAGCCTTGCTATAGTTTATATACCAGTCTTTTTATTCAAATCTGAACAAACCTTTTTAAAGTAAGATGGCTGTACTGGAATGCTTAAAATTTTAAGTGCATTTGAATTGAATTTCTGCAATCAGTTGCCCATTTTCTATTAAATGTTTATTTATAGCTGTACTGTCACAAGAATTCCAATCAGTGATTTCACCACACAAAGAAATTATTATGGTTTATAAACTGTAAAATGCAATCTTTACCTTAGTGAGCACAAATCAATGTACAAATAGGAGATAACATGCTAAGTGAAACACTTCAGTATTTATATGATTAGGTGAACAATGAATTAGTTATATGTATCCTTATGTAAGTTTGTGATAAAATTCTAAGAATTTCTAGATATTAAACTTTGTCAAAATATATA